CCACCATCATCGCCACCATGGTTATTGTCACCCACCACAACCATCACCGTCTCCTACTACCACCACTGCTGCCTATTACCTCTCACTTTCATTACTAACCGATGCTTAATTCATTTATCACTTCTTTATATTTGTGATTTGATTTTAAATATAAATATAAATATATTTATTGTTTACTTTTTTTTATTGTTATGTATTTTCAGGTACAAACAATAACTAGTGCAATACTATTAAAAAAGTTATCACTTAAATTCTCAACAATTCTCGTTTAAATTTATAATAGAATGTAAAATGGAAAGGAAATTTTTAGGGGGTCCATCTCAATCTTTTCTGGACATCGGCCCCGAAAATGATTGGCCCGCCCTGTTGCTTTATGTCCAAATGTCAAAACGTTGGTTGGTAGGGTTGGCTTTGACCGCCCGCTTCTTGTACTCGGCTCCTGTAAATTGAAACCCCCAACTCTCTCTGTTCTCTCTGTCCAAGTTCCGAACAGAGAAAATGGGACTCTACACGATGGTGATGGACGCAATCATGCACTACACCGGACTTTCACCGGCGGCCTTCGTCACGATAATGGCACTCATGGTGGTGGTCTACAAAGTGGTGTGCGGAATGTTCGTCGCAGCCGAGGATTATGTAGCCGTCAAAAGGGCCAACGAGTACACTGTGCATGAACCGGTTGAGCTGGGAGATGTTATTGAGGAGGAATTGAGGGCCTATGATGGTTCTGACCCTAATAGGCCCTTGTTGATGGCCATCAAAGGACAGATCTATGATGTTTCTCGCTCCAGGTAATTCACTGGTGTCTTTTTTGTTGTGGCTTCTTAATTTTGTTTAAGCATAGACCTCCGTAAAAGCCACTTGCATCTCCAGTTTGGATACTGACTCTAACCTTAGACTAAAATTTAAATTTGAGTGTTCCAAAAATCTTCTTCAACCTTGGACCCAAACTAATTCTAAACTAGCAGTGCAACATGTGCATGTGAATTAGTTTAGGTTCTAATTTAATGCTTTTGTATTTGAATTTGAGATTAAAAAATGACAAAACCTATAGACACTTGTCATGTCTGAATGAACATAAACTCTTCTAAGGTTCTGTAAAGATCCTGAGTTAAAAGTTCTATAAGAACTTAGAATATAAAAACTTCATTAGAAGGAAATAAAAGTCTTGAATTATAAACATGATAAATGTTTTGTAATGATTCCAGTATTTAACCCTGTTTTAAAGCCTTCATTTGGAAAAAAAGACTCTTTCCAAAGCCTACTAGTAAAAGTCCATAGCTTTGCATGCATCATAAACAGCATTAGGATGGTCACTACCAATCATTGCAATATTTCGCAAGAATTAGTGGTCACTAGTTGAACCTAAAAAACTTTGCATAACAAATTTATTCCCATGGAGCCAATGGACACTTGATAACATTTTTGGGTGATTCAGAAAAACTAAGTAGCAAAGAGAAATTTTAACAATACTTTCAATTTATGTTATATCCTTCTTTAGTTAGTGATACTATTGAAACATCAATTTTGGAATCAATGCTCTTATTGGGGCCCAAAGCATATTCTTTGTCCAAACTCGATAATGGTAAATTTCAAATAACAATAAATTTTGTACAAGACTACAAGCTATAAAGGTTTTGTCTTAATAGAATCCCTATGAGTGAGTCATCCTTTCTTCTAATGCTTCCGAGTAGTTAGTCCTTACTCTATCTCTTTTAGTGGTATCTATCATATATTTAAAGTTGATATCCTGTAGGTAATCAACAAATAGTTAAACATATAAACTGAAGGATCGCAAAATTAATGCGCTTGATTAGATATCTAATGATCTAAAATGAGGACTGACATGTGACTGACCACATGTCATTGGGACGATGATTCGGAACCCCTACAAAGCAAAGCTGAGTTCGGCATAACATTTAGCCGAGCTCGAGTGTCCGTCCAAGTAAGTTAAACCACTTATGATATCTGAGCTAAGATGTTATTGGACTATTCCTTAGCCAAACTGATAAGCTTGGGTTGGTGAATTATTGTCAACATCCAAAGAAATACCTCAGCTTGACTGATGTAAACAAGCTCGAGACAGTCATAATTGAGAAGATTACTCCATTCCAAAAATATTGATAAGAATGAATTATGGATAAACATTATCAATGTGACTGAATGAATGGGGGTAGGTGATAAGGAATGATGGACGAATCCTAGCACTGATCACGAACAATCTGGCTAAACATAAGGTGTGCCACCTTACATTGCCAAAGGAGAGAAACCCTACTAGTGAGTCCAAACTAGAAGAAGGTGGCAAATTTGACACAGTTATATCACTAACATATGTATCATTGGGAATATCTGTAGGGAAGGGATCAATGTAAAGAACATCATATTTATGCACAGATGAAGAACAAGAGAGAATCGAAAAGAAGGAAATATGTTCCTTAAAGATAACATGGCGAGAGACAGAGAGTCTGAATGCAATAGAATCATAGCAACGATACCTTATTTGACCCTCACCGTAACCAATAAAAACACAAAGTTGAATGAGCAACAAGTTTACTACGAAGAGCACTAGAAATTAAGTCAAAACACGTGCATCTAAACACACGTAGAGAGAAATAATTAGGTAGCTTACCACATAATTATTCAAGTAGAGAGATTCCAAAGGTGATGATAGTGGGAATGCAGTTAATCAAATGAACTACAGTGAGAACTGTTTCATCTCAAAAAGAACTTGGGACATTTGCAGACAACAAGAGAGTATGCTATCTCCATAATATGTCGGTGTTTGCTTTTTGCTATGCCGTTCTGTTGAGGTGTGTCAGTACAAGAAGATTGAAAAACAGTACCATCAAATTTTAACATATCATGAAGAGAATTAAAAGAATATTCTCCTCCTTGGTCACATTAAAAATATTTAATAACAGAGGACTATTGGGTATGTATCATAACATGAAATACAGTAAATACAAAAAAGAATTTAAAACGATGTTTCTTTAGATAGACCCAATAATATCTTATATAGTCATCAATGAAGGAAATATAATATCTAAACCTTCCTTTAATTGGAATAGGAGTAAGTTCTCATACATTCGAAAAAACCAGATCAAACGGTGCAAGAGAAGTAGTAGAACTTTTATTAAAAGGTAATTCAATAAATTTAGTTAACTTACATCCAAAACAATTAGAAATATCATGATGCTCTAAGTTACCCAAACTATGAGTAAAGGCTAAAAATTTTAACCGAGAATGAGAAACATGACAAAGATGAGAATGTCACAAATAAAAACTAGAAGACTATGGACTCATATGGAAAGAAGACAAATCAATAATAGAGGTAACAATATCTGGAATATGCAACTCGTTTAACACATACAACCCTTCCTTTTTATTGCCTGTTTCAATCAACTTCTTAGAACATGGATCTTACACAGCACAACCAAAGAAAAAAATGAACTGAAAATCCAAAGTCAAATAATTGACTAATTGAAATCAAATTCAAGGTAAGCTGTGGAATGTAATAAACATCAGGAAGCATTAGTTGCGAAGAAATATTAGACCCAACACTGGCCAAGCTCATTTGAGTATCATTGACTGCAAGTACAGATACAAATGGTAGAGAGAAGGTAGATGCAAATAAAGAAGAATCACTTGTCATGTGATGTGTAGCACCTGAATCTAAGACCCAAGTTGTGCGTGATATACCTAAAGGACCCGAACTAAACGAACCTATAAAAGGAGAGACTAAGAGAATACTAGCTTGCTGAAAAAGCTTATGCAATTAATAAGCAATCATAGTCTAAAAAAAGTCGATGTTTCCACTTGTCATAATTGCAATTAACCCAAATCTTGAGCCCAAAAGTCCAAATCCCTATTTAAGAACCAACAAAATCTAAAAAGACCAAAGTCCACAAGAAAAACATGCAACACAGTGAACACCGAAGCAAACCAGCAAGTTATCAACTCTAAAGTAAAACAACCCAATTGTTAGCAGCAAGAAAATAGCCCAATGGGCAGCCTAAAGCAAAGTCCACAACCCAAAGTAAATGCCAACAAACTGCTTTCAAGCAATAGAACAAAAACCAGCCCAATACACCTTCCAAATAAAAAGCCCATTGCTTTGCCTCAGTGTACACTGTGTTGCTTGTTGGGAGTGAAAATGATACACAAACTAAGTGTAGAGTGCAACTAACCAAAACACCCTTTTGATCTAGGTAAGACATAAAAACCATAGTAAGGTCAAAATAGATAAAAAGCTAAATATCCTAATAACTTATCTATAACTCTAACACTTTCCTTCAAGCTAGGTGAAAAGATGTCAGTCAACCCAAGCTTAACAATGGAGTTCCAAATAATGGATAGAGTGACAGGTTTAGTAAAGACATTTACAACTTGATCACTAGTCCCCACAAACGATGGAGTAACAATACCGCAGCTGACATTTTCTTAAAGAAAGTGAACATCGATTTTTATATGCTTCGTCCTCTTGTATAGTACAAATTCAAAAGTGACCTGAATATCATATCGATTATCACAATATAATGTAGATAAAAAAATCATTGTAAATTCCAACTAGCCAAGAATAGACCATAGCTAGATAATCTCATATGTGCCAAGTGCTCGTATGTGATACTCTGCCTTTGCTGATGAATGGGCGATGACTGCGTGCTTCTTGTTCTTCTAAGAGAGATAAGATGAGTTCTTCAAAAAATGTAGAAACTCATAGTAGATTAACGGACACAAGCTCCCTCATAATGTGAATCAAAATAACAGGCTAAAAAATCAGTCTNCGACTGCGTGCTTCTTGTTCTTCTAAGAGAGATAAGATGAGTTCTTCAAAAAATGTAGAAACTCATAGTAGATCAACGGACACAAGCTCCCTCATAATGTGAATCAAAATAACAGGCTAAAAAATCAGTCTGTGACCCCGATGCATATGACAACTCAAGCCCAAGACAAGATTTGAGGTATCGAAGAATATGATATACTTCATCCAGATGAGACTGACCCGACTTGTGCATGAACTGACTAACCCGGCTGACGACAAATGAAATGTCTCGCCTAGTGTTGGCTAGGTAGATAAGTCTACTATCAACCTCTGATAAATAGTCGGATTTCTCACCTCCTCACCTTCAACAGTAAGTTTCAGATTTGAAATCATAGGTGATGATGCTACTGCTACTACAAGCAACCCCAATCCCAAAAAAGTATCATAGAAATCTAAGGTTCTTTATATCGAAGGCTTTCCTAAGGTCGATCTTGATCTGTGCAATCTCAGAAATGTCATCCCAATAATAATAATATTATCCACATATACTAAGAGAATGATTCACTGTCAAGTAATATTCCTTCGAATGAAGCATGTATGATCAGAATGACATCTGGTGAAGCCAAAGCGTATGACCACACCACTAAATTGAGAGAACTAGGCTCGTGGTGGTTGTTTCAGTCCATAAAGAGATTTATGCAGTCGACACACCTTCCGTTGACAACATATTCTCCCTCACCACGAAAGTCAGGTTGTGCATCCATATAAATAGTCTCATCCAGGTTACCGTGAAGAAACACATTCTTCACATCTAACTGATGAAGGGGCCTAGAATACGAGGTAGCCAGAGAAATAATCAAACAAACCGTAGTCAATTTTGATACAGGGGCAAAGGTATCTCTAAAATTGTGACCTAGAACCTAAGTAAAGCTCTTTATCACAAGTTTAGCCTTATAACGACCAATAGTTCCTTCCACAAGAAATTTTAGGATGTAGACTTAGCGACAGCTAACAGGCTTCACTCCTAAAGGTA